GTGTGTGTGTGTGTGTGTGTGTGTGTGTGTGTGTGTGTGTGTGTGTGTGTGTGTGTGTGTCCCTCTTCAGCTGAGTGTCAATATATTGATGACTGACCTTTCAGTCCTTTATCTGAAATGCAATAAAACAAGTTTCAGTTGACTGAAGATAATCTTTATTAATATACGACATTTATCACAACACACTCACACACACACACACACACACACACCTATGCAGATCAACATACTGCTCTTAAAGTTTATAATAGAGCTGTAAATAATATGATCACATGCTGGAATTATATATGAACTTGCGCATGTGTGTATGAAACATACGAGATCTTCGTCACGAGACAGCATGACTACACACTTTTAAAGAGACCAGTGATACCGTATTCAGTGTGGTGTTACTGTGGTCAGTGTGGTCAGTGTGGTGTTACTGTGGTCAGTGTAGTCAGTGTTGTGTTACTGTGGTGTTAGTTTGGTCAGTGTGGTGTTACAGTGGTGTTACTGAGGTCAATGTGGTGTTACTGTGGTCAGTGTAGTGTTACTGTGGTCAGTGTGGTGTTACAGTGGTGTTACTGTGGTCAGTGTAGTGTTACTGTGGTGTTACTGAGGTCAATGTGGTGTTACTGTGGTCAGTGTAGTGTTACTGTGGTCATTGTGGTGTTACAGTGTTGTTACTGTGGTCAGTGTAGTGTTACTGTGGTCAGTGTAGTGTTACTGTGGTCAGTGTGGTGTTACTGTGGTCAGTGTGGTGTTACTGTGGTCAGTGTGGTCAGTGTTGTGTTACTGTGGTGTTAGTTTGGTCAGTGTGGTGTTACAGTGGTGTTACTGTGGTCAGTGTAGTGTTACTGTGGTCAGTGTGGTGTTACAGTGGTGTTACTGTGGTCAGTGTGGTGTTACAGTGGTGTTACTGTGGTCAGTGTAGTGTTACTGTGGTCAGTGTGATGTTACTGTGGTCCAGTGGTGTTACTGTGGTCAGTGTGGTGTTACAGTGGTGTTACTGTGGTCAGTGTAGTGTTACTGTGGTCAGTGTGGTGTTACAGTGTTGTTACTGTGGTCAGTGTAGTGTTACTGTGGTCAGTGTAGTGTTACTGGTGGTGTTACTGTGGTCAGTGTGGTGTTACAGTGGTGTTACTGTGGTCAGTGTAGTGTTACTGTGGTCAGTGTAGTGTTACTGTGGTCAGTGTGGTGTTACAGTGGTGTTACTGTGGTCAGTGTGGTGTTACAGTGGTGTTACTGTGGTCAGTGTAGTGTTACTGTGGTGTTACTGTGGTCAGTGTGGTGTTACAGTGGTGTTACTGTGGTCAGTGTAGTGTTACTGTGGTCAGTGTGGTGTTACTGTGGTGTTACTGTGGTAAGTGTGGTGTTACAGTGGTGTTACTGTGGTCAGTGTAGTGTTACTGTGGTCAGTGTGATGTTACTGTGGTGTTACTGTGGTCAGTGTGGTGTTACAGTGGTGTTACTGTGGTCAGTGTAGTGTTACTGTGGTCAGTGTGGTGTTACTGTGGTGTTACTGTGGTCTGTGTGGTGTTACTGTGGTCAGTGTGGTGTTGCTGTGGTCAGTGTTGTGTTACTGTGGTCAGTGTGGTGTTACTGTAGTGTTACTGTGGTCAGTGTGGTGTTACTGTGGTCAGTGTGGTGTTACTCTGGTGTTACTGAGGTCAGTGTGGTGTTACTGTAGTGTTACTGTGGTCAGTGTGGTGTTACACAGATTAGTGTTTCATGTGTTTCATGCACAGGTCCTTCATGTCCAGTAGTGCGACCTGCAGCTCTTCTGCCAGCCGATCTGAACAGGTTTCTTTATTCTCTCTGAAACTGGACACTGAGAACACGATGTGATCCGACTGAGGATTATAACAAACACCGTAACCGTCTGGAACCACTGGACCATAGCAGCAGAACATCTCCATCTCAGTGGGGACCTGGAGGAAGACGCAGCACAGCACATGTAGTGTATTTCTGCAGTGTTTACTCCCGCTGCCACGTCTGCAACACTGAACAGCAGCTGTGAGCGGTCTACAGTAGAGTGCAGGAACACCACACAGCAAACCCCGAACACTCATCAGGAATGCTGGAGTCCGAGTCTTACTGCAGTTATAAACCATCAATGATTGTGTGTGTGTCTGTGTGTGTGTGTGTGTGCTGCTCTTACCTGACTGGTGGACAGGATGAAATGGTTGCTGATCTTGTATGTTTCATCAGAGAATATGTCCGGCGTCTGCATCTCCATCTGCCTGGCCATTTCCCGCAGTCCCAGTAAGTGATTGTCCATCCCGTTCCCAGTGACGGCCTGCAGAGGGCGAGGAACATTCATGTGTGTGGTGTGTTTGTGCAGCTAGTGTGTTTGCAGACCAG